AATATTGTTTAAAATGCAAGATGTGTATCGATTGACAAGTACAATATAGATATATATTAGAATAGATCAGTTTATGAGATCTTTGGACAACTTGCTTTAGGCTTTTATATTTAAAAATAAATTCTTTAGAAGAGTAAAATCCTTGATTATAGATGATTTTATTATACAATTATTTTAACAAAGACATAATATATGATAATATTATTTTTGTAACAGAAAAGAGAACTGGATAACCGATACCCTCCTAAGTCCCAATTTGCAGAACTATGCTAAAACTTTATACTGATATTCTCATTGGGTCTGTTAAAGTGAAGCGTAAGATCAACCAAAACAAAGAAGATATCAATTTTTTTTAAAACTACCTTTAAAGAAAAAACAACAATAGCAATGTACTGCATGCTGATATACTTCATGAATTATGCATTAAATATATTAAGTTAATCTTAAAGAGAAAATTCATAAAATTAAGAAATTAAATTACCTCTAGAAAGACATATGTCCTTTGAGTGCAACAACAGATGATGAAACACATTATTAAAGAATATCATCATATCAGAACGGATAAATAATACGTTGGAATAAGAAGCCAAGCTGACATAGTTTATTTTCCATTGAGATAGTTACAACATACAACTCTTTTTATTTTTAATCTCGAGAAGGAACTCATTTTATGAAATTATAAATAAAAAATTCTTAACCAGATTTAACATAAAAAGATGTTGAAGTAAATTACTCACTCTGCCAAAGCTCAAATGCTACTACAGGCAACTGTGCACTTGCTTCCTCTGCGTGTTTGATGCTTCGTTTATGTCTAAACCTATTGAGTTAGATACCTGAAACTAATATTCGAACAAAATTAATAAATTACCTCTAGAAGATTGATATTCCATAATAATAAGTACAACCTAATTTGTCTGAGGCAAACATAAATAAGTTATACAAAGTGTCCTTTTCCAAGTCGATAAGTGTTTAAAAGTGCTTGTGTCTATGTCGTGATGGTATGGAACTTCCACATTAAGTAGAACACATATGTTAAATATATGAAAAGTTGGAACTTGATTAGTGTTAGAAGTTTGTTCAAATTCATAATTATCTCCAACGTTATCACTTTTTAATTGAATTAGAAGTTCTCGATATTGGTAGAGTGAGAATTTATATGCACGGTAAGTGGTGTTTAAATCGGGAAGAATGTCATCCTTGGGTAATATTTTAAATATTACAATTTTATTCACCTTTAATAACTCGAATATTTAAGGGCATAAAAGTCTATTAAAGGTTTAAGGATATTTTAGTCGTTCAACATTTAGCATAATAATATTCGTGCTTTTATAATAATATAGATAGATATAAATATAGATATAGATATAGATTAACTTTTCGTGATTTTAAACGTTCTAAGTAGTTGGTACATGTGTTTTGTTCGTTTATTTATTTTTTTTTCTCTTTTTCTCTGTGACGTGCGTACTAACAATCTCATATCTTTTGATAAATTCACCGATTATTTTCTAAATATCTCCCGACAGTACAACACTCAAAAAGCAAAATATATATAGAAAAAAGTTTACCTTTAATCCCCCTCCCCCCCCACAATTATGTATTTAAGTAAAAAAANTATGTATTTAAAGAAAAAAGTAAAAAAAGAAAATTAGCCTTTTAAATCTAACACAACAATTTGAACGTTTTGGAGTTGCCATGTTATTGTTGTTGTCATGTTAATCTAGGAAAAGTAAGTATTTTTATTCTCAATGTTACAATTGTAGAAAAATAACAATTTTTAGTTGATATTTTTTTCAAAATTTATTATGAGTTCTGAAATATTATTCGACATGGAATTGAATCTTTAATGAAATAAATATTTATTATGAAATTTCATTATAAATTTTAAGAACACTATTATTACTTAACTTTAAATTTTTATATCTTATAATTTTATCCAACACAAAATTATTTTTAAAAAAATAGTTAGTTTTGAAGAATTTAAAATTAATTCGTTACGATTTTGACATGATAGGAATAATAAGTTATTTTACTCTGTATTTTCTTTGATTAACTTATTATTTCAGTTAGCAAATTATTCTTTGCCTTGTCTAAAAGTAAAATTTTTTTTTAAAAAAAGCTTAAAATAAACTAAAGAAAAAACTCCCAAAAGACCCAACCCACGGGCAACATCAATTTCCAATATAGAAAGTCTATTTTATCCGGAAGTAGTATTTTAATAGAATTTTATTTATNAAAAAAAAACTTAAAATAAACTAAAGAAAAAACTCCCAAAAGACCCAACCCACGGGCAACATCAATTTCCAATATAGAAAGTCTATTTTATCCGGAAGTAGTATTTTAATAGAATTTTATTTATATTGTTTTGACCAAAATATGACCTACAACGTTATGTGAAGAATAATGTAAAAAGGGATATTTTATCCAGTATTAAGGCAATGTGTCTTGCTCTAAAATTGAAGTAAGAGAATAACAAAATCTGACGAAGAACCCTTTTAATCCTAATCAAACTAAAACTATTGAAATAGTTAATACCGTTCTTGTAAAAAAAAGGAAAAAATTATTAGAACCCATTACAAATTAGGCATATTTCAGGCAAAATCTTAAATACTAAGTACAATTTCTATTATAATTACAACTTTTTAATTTAATGTGCATTTCTTCCAGTTGTGTCCTCTTCTTATGCCTTTTAGTATTTTAATGTGCATTACTTCCTCTCTATTGGCTCGCTAAGAAGAAAATTGACTAAATCCTAACAAAGAAAAGCTTTCGTATTAGAGAAGATACCCTTTATATTTGTATATTTGTCGTATTCGTCATATTATTATGGGAAAAGTACAGAAATAGTCAATTTAAACTTAAACTTATCAACTTCTAGCCCAAAATTAGACATTCACCAAAATTAGTCAAAAATTAGAGATACACGCAAGGAAGGATTCTTCCATTCAAGAATCACGCTAAAGATCTTCTTTCCTTCCCTATTTTTTAAGCGTATCAATTTCACAGATACATACATTCTGTAAATCACGGCATTATCTCCCAAAAAAATCTCAAAATGAGCTCCAAATTTCACTCAAAAATCGATCAATTTCACTGTAGAAGGAACAATTTCCTTTCGCGATTTCTCTGTAGATACAACTTTGATGAAGGAACTACGAACTACAATCAAAATCAATCAAGGAATTAGTGAGTTTTGACCTAATTTCAGCTACTTCAATAGCAAATTTATCAATTTTTATTCAGTATGGTGGCCAATGGAATGTTGACAACAGTTTTGTAGATTACAATACCGATGTTGTAATAGTTACTCCAAATATAAGTTTTGATGATTTTGTAGACGTGATTTCGAAACAACTTATGATAGATACTTCATTGAATGTTATTAAAATCAAATACACTGTCCAAAACGGTTCTCCACCAATAGTGATACACAATAATATGGGTATATGTGTATATCTTTAGCTGGAAAAAAAGCTCGAAATTTACAATGTATCCCCTTTGTATACCATTGAGTGAAAAGGGTATGGATATGATCTGCAACAATTCAAATTCTGTTGTGATTTCCTCAGAGTGTGCACAAAGCTCAGTTATACATGAGAGATACAATAGCGATACAATTAATATGATTGAGTTCGGGGATGGAGAAGACTGACAGGATACAAAATCTGATGAAAATATAATAATAACTAACCCTCAACACATAGATGTAGAAGGAGGTCAAATTTATAAAGACAAGGCTACGATAGTCAAAGTCATGAAGCACTTGGCTGTAAAGGAAAAATTCCAGTTTAAGGTGCATAGATCAAGTGAAAGCAGGTATCAAAATATTTACTGTGTAATTATGTATCTCAATGTATATCGTAGTTGATGTTAGAAGCATAATTATGCAGAAAATAAGTTGTTCCTTGTAAGTCTGTGGCTGTACATTTTTAAGTTGTGGTTGTCACCGTGTAGTACTATATAGTTATTGTATTATTTCATCTAGTATTGTTGATGTCAGTGTGTATCACTATATATCATTGTATTTCATGTCGCTCTGTTTATTGATGAAAAAGTTTATATCCTTTCGTAGGTACTGTCTAGTGTGCAATAATAACAACTGCGATTGATGTTTTAAGTCTTCGAGCCTGAAAAAAGCAAAACTTTTCAAGGTATAAAATTTCAGCAAACTTCACTCATGCCCGCTGAAAGATAGATCTTACGCACAATGTCAAGCTACTGCAAAACTCATCGGCAGTCTTCTGATAGACAAGTATAAAGACCCAAAAATAATAAACACTCCTAATGACTTAATTGGAGACAAGAACAAGAAATATGATCTTCAAATGACATATATGCAAGCATAAATATCGAAAGAATATGCAGTTCAACTACTGAGAGGGAACCCCAGCGATTCATATGAAAAGCTGCCAAGCTACTTTTATATGTTGGTTCTTACGAATCCTATGTCGGTGGTAAGTTTGAAAAAAATAAAGGAAGACCTGTTCATGTATACTTTCGTTGCACTATATCCGTCTATGAAAGGATGGCAGTATTGTAAACTGGTTGTTATTGTAGATGGAACATTTTTTAAATCGACATACATAGGAACATTATTGATAGCATCCACACAAGATCCAACAAGTAAAAATAAGAATAATAATGTGTGTGTGTGTGTATATATATATATATATATATATATATATATATATATATATTATTCATGTATATACTCAAATGTATTTATATGATTCAATTTATTAGATAGTATCCTACCACTTGCATATGCCATAGTAGATTTAGAGAATAATTCTTCCTGGGAGTGGTTTTTTGCGAGGTTCAAGGATTAATTTGGGGAAAGTGAGGGAATGTACATAGTCTCGGACATGCATGAAGGCATTGAAAATGCAGCGGCAACATTGTATCCACAAGTACCTCATTGTGTCTACATATGACATCTATTGAATAATGTAAAAAAAAATTACTAGAAGAACCATTTGCAGCTCAAAGACATATTCTTTATTATGGACAAAGCATACACAGTTAAGAAGTTTGATTACCACATGGCAGAGGTAGAGAGAATTGATAAGAGGGTCAAAGATTACTTAATCAACGTTGAGTATGAAGGATGGTCTAGAGCACATTCCACTGTCAACAGAATATTGACAATGATTTCAAACATTGCAAAGTCGATCAATGCAGCACTCAAGGCTTCTAGAGAACTCCCAATACTGCTTTTGCTGAAGTACATAAGGCAATTAATCGGACAATGGAAGGTTACAAACCAAAAGAATACAATAGAGTCATTTACTGATCTTGGAAAAAAATATGATACAATGTTGATGGACAATCTCGAATTGTCACATCAGATGAAGGTATGACTAGAATCTGTAGATACTTGTGCATGTAATATGTAATCATGCCGAATTCACGGATATGTTATATCTTGAACCCTTTATGTGATTCTGTTAAACTAGTGTCCACATGCACGGCACAGGGAGACCAAATTGATTAAATCTAGCGTTTTCTAATATTCATTTTTTGCACAAAGGCAATATTATAGTGTTCAAGTAATGGAGGGTATTATTTCTGTTACCTGAGGCTTCAGGTTTTCTGTTTCTTTTCAAAGCTGGTTGGTCTACCTCTATTCTCTATTTCTTCTGGGGCATGCAAGAAATTAGTCATTATGTAAGCAAAGTGTTCAACTTTTAGATGACTACCAGCATGTATATAAGGCTTTCAATTTAATGTAGCATCTATGCCTACTCCACTGCTAAAATATTGGTTAGTTTGACATGATATTAAGCTATTTTGAATCTTGTAGGCTCTCCAGTATATGTGTTTTGAGGGCATATACTTTGTCACCACTAATGATAGTTGATAAATTTTGTAGTGAACTATTCGACGAGTTACTTATATTCAGTACTTGACAAGGGTAAGCAAGGAATGGTATTCCTAAAAGATCGAACTTGCAGCTGTAGAAGGTTTTAGTTGGATGAGCTGCCATGTGCACATGCTTGGGCAGTATTAAAATATAAATACATTGATCACATTGAGTATTTCTTGGTGTACTACACCAGAAAGTACATATTGAAGACCTATGAAATTCTAATTTATCCGGTTCCTGATGAAAGTACATGAAAAATTCCTGTTGAAGTTCTAGATGAAAAGGTCTTGCCACCAGACGTGACTAAATCAATAGGAAGGCCAAGGAAGGGGAGGTTCAAGCCAATATCTGAAAGGGAACGAAAAAGGTCGATTTCATGTGGACAGTGTGGAGAACAAGGTCACAACAGGAAAACTTGTAGAGATAATCCAAAGAGAGAATGAAATATGTCAAACTTAGAATTACTTATTATTTTACTTTACTAAATATCATAGAGATTTATAACAATCCAATATATCAAGAAATGTATCAATGCAGAATGTCATTTGAATTTTAGATATAAATAAATAGAATTTTAGATATAAATAAATATTTGATCTATCATTTAAAATCGTGTTGCAAGTGTATTTTTTAAATTATACATCTGTTTGATTAAAAAAGAAGTTGTATCAGCTATATATCATATTTGTATATCTTGTGTATCACCTATGTATCTCTGTGTATCGGTAAATTATACATTTGTTTGATTAAAAAAGAAATTGTATCAGCTATGTTTCATATTTGTATCATCTAAGTATCTCTTTTGTATCACCTATGTATCTTTGTGTATCGGCTCTTACTCATATATGTATTTGTGTAATAACAAAGTCAACTAATGGAAAACAGTCGTAGCAGGTAGAAAACTGTGCAAATAGTTTTAGAAATTTGCAAATAAGAGTGTGGCTTCATCAATACATATTTCGAAACCAAACAAACTGCAGAACTTGTTGTGAAGAAACTAACTGAGCAGCAATCCAAAATGACTATATCATCTATGTATCATGTGTGTATCATATTTGTATCATGCGTGTATCGGGAAGAGACAGTATATCACAAACTACCGTACATTTTCCATATCTTGAATTCACAACACAAAATCAAGGGAGAAAACACCAAAATAAACTAAACTGTAACACTCCAATATTGCACTAAAACTCATTAAACCTTTATAACAGAGCATGCATCTCATTTGTCGTACAAATCTTAAAAGTATTCATAAAATTCAAACACAAACAAATCTGATCCGTCTTACAACAATGACAACATAACAGAACACAATACAAAACGAAATTATTGAGTTCATCCTACAACAATGACAAAAGTAACCACTTCTTCCGCTTCTGCGACTTATTCTGTCGACCACTAATCTCATCATCACTTTGCACGTTCAGTTCCATCTTCTTTCTAGCATAATCCCACAATAGAGCACCAAATCTGCGCCGGTGTGCATAGGCATTGAAATATTTAGGAGGCGTCTCGCCCCCAATGAAATACTCGGCAAATGATGTCGCAAATACACTGCAATCACTACAAAAATAAAAATAACAATAATTATCAAACTGCAGAATCTAAAAACAAAACAGATTGTGTTGAAAGAAATTCATACGCTTCGACTTGTTGAGGCAGTCCTTCAACTAGTTTTACATCAAAATGGGTAATCAAGTCCTTTTATTTGTAGACTCCAGTACGCCAATTGATATATTTTTTGTTTAAATAGAAATGCGTGTGCACGAAAAAATGAGGCAGCAACACAGAATACTTGCACATTATATTATGAATTTTGGATTGATGAGCAACTCCACCGCGCATAGAGTCATACACATAAATGCACATATCATTGAAGGACATCACAACCATTATCCAATCCCATTGTTCCACAATATTAGTTGGCATTAAGACGTGCTCGACAGTGTGCCATGGAATATTGGCATCCAAGACATACCCCTGAATATACTCTACAATGACATATTTCGGATTGCACACTTTACTATCTCCATCTGTATCAATAAACGCCTTCCACAATTCATTAATTTTCTCGTCGAAGTACCAATATGTGGTGGTAGGTCTTTGTCATACTTCCCCTTATTCCTCAAATCATAGAATAAAATATCAATGTGCTGAAACAAAACCTAACAAATAATTCAATCACTGAAGGCTCGTAAGCTTTAAGCAGCTACGCTTTTCAAATCAAATTCACAGAAAACAAAGGAAAATGAATGTTCACTACTTCTCTTATGCCAGACAAGATATCAATTAATAATCTCTTCTAGCTAAAACTTTTTTAAAAAAAATGTAAAAGTAACTTCTTACATACTGAGTCATCCAAATGCTGACCATTATATGCCAAAGTGTTGTAATGACGACTTGTCGTTTTAAGAATTTATGCCCCGTTCAATGACTTAAGGTCCCGAGCAACTTCGTAATATGTATTATGACCCGTGGTTTTGATTGAGTTTGATTTTCGGAAGATTTAGAATTTAATTGAAAGAGAAATTCTCATTTTTAAAGCTTAAATAGAAAGAGTTGACAAGAGAGTTGACTTTTGAGAAAACGACATCGAAATAGAATTTTAATGATGTCAATAGCTTATATGGTGATTTCGGACTTAGGCGTGTGTTCAGATTTAGATTTGGAAGTCCGTAGGACAATTCAACATATTTTGGCGAAAGTTGGACAATAGACGATTTTTGGAAAGTTCGATCGAAGGTTAAATTTTTTATAACGAGGTCGGAATCCAATTCTGGAAACTTGAATAGGTCAGTTATGTCACTTATGACTTGTGTGCAAAATTTGAGTTCAATCGGACTTGATTCGTTAGGTTTCGGCATCGAATATAGAATGTGGAAATTTCATAAAACTAAAGTTTCAAGTGAGTTCGCACAAGACCTAACTTCAAATGATTATAACTCTCATGATATGAAGCTTTATATGGTTTATTACCTATCAAATGAAAGATCTTTGAGTCTAGTTTCTAACGCTTCAAATCGTTCGTCATTTGGACACACCTAAAACAAGTTATGACCAAATTACCAAAGGCTGGAAAAATATGATTTTGCGGTCAGATGTGCGACCGCAGAATAATTATGCGATCGCAAAACACATTGTGCGACTACAAAATGGGTCGCTGACCTGTCCAGCACAGCCCAGTTTTCGGCACCGATTTTGCGGTCCATTTTGCGACTCACACACCAATTGTGCGGTCCATTGTGCGACCGTATAACTGAGTTCAGAGGGTTAATTTTTTTATTTTCGTAACCCGACCCCATTTTGATAAATAGGCTTTGGGGTTTATTTTGGGGCAATTATCTAAGGTTTTTTTTAGAGAGAAGTGAGAGTGCTCTAGAGAGAGGAAGTAGATGAAGTGCTTTGTTCATCAAGATCTTGTCCAAACTTTAAAATCCAACAAGGAAATCTCACAAGTTCTTCATCTAAGAGGTAAGGTTCCATATTTAGTTTTCAATTTCGAATTTGGGTAGAAGATGGTTGATTAGGAGTATGATTCTTGGGTATGAGAGTATTATTTATACATGTATGTACCAATAAGATTTGTGGGAAGATTATTGGGCTAAAATAAGTAAAGATTGGGTTGAGAAGTGAAGAAAATCTTATAGAAGAACCTTGTAGCCAAATTTGCATACCTAGTGATTGATAAAATGCTCAAATGAGCTGAAACCATGAAAATCTTCCTAATTATGGTTCAATTTTATTATGTTTCTAAATAGATTGAAGTTGCTAGGATTTTCGGAACCTCGTAGTAATGTAAGGAAAGCTCGAGAAGGATGAAGTCGTCCGGAGGTCAATTCACGTGAGAAAACTATTTTGGAATATCGGCCTAAGGTAAGTATCTTGCCTAACCTTGAGTGAAAAAAATTATCCCTTAGGCATTGAGTTTTATGTGTAAATTGTGTAATTGAAAATCATGTACGCGAGGTGACGAGTGCATACTTGGTTTATATGTGCAAATTACATTGGTTAAAATTCTTAGACGCCCTTATGTATTAAGTCAGAAATTATTGGCACTTATTAAATCCTATATTTGTCATGCCTAGATCCTTGTTTGTTGAAATTTTTTATATATGATGATTTGGTTTGATTGCCACCTTGAATTTATGTGAAATATATTTTGTTAAGATTTTGTGCATATTATGGTCGAGCCATGGGCTCCTTATTGTGGAAAATGGTGTATTGTTGATTTCTATGGCAAGTTGAAATATTTGAGTACTCGATGTGTAATTTATAATTTGTTGTAATATTTGAGCACTTGATGAGCTATTTGTGATATGTGAGCACTTGATGTGCAGTTATTGAAATCATATTTACTTTGGGACTACGGAACGGTATTCCGGGAGATCCCCCTGCCCTACATATTTACTTTGGGACTACGGAACGGTATTCCGGGAGATCCCCATGTCTTGAATATTTACTTTTGGGACTACGAGGCGGTACCTCGGAAGATCTCCCCTGTCTTGCATATTTCCTTTTGGGACTACGAGGCGGTACTTCGGGAGTGCCCTTTTGTTGATATTTTCTACGGATGCACTTGCCTTTGGTTATTTTATTTTCCGTGATATATAAATTTTTGTGTTCTTCCGTGATATATTATTTGATTTTATTATGTGTTTTGTATTCCTTGTTGTATTGTGTTGGCTTTGGCTCTTTGTACAAGACTCTGCAGATTTGTGTTTATGGTTTTTACCGGCTTTCGAGAATAGAGTTGTTTCGAATAAAACAAATTGCTATTATGTTTTAATTTAATAAATTTTACATCCAAATTAGTAGTCATCATATGCTTCATTTTAATTGAAATGTCGTTTTCTTCACCCAAATGATTTCTAAAATAAATTCATTCCTTTGTTGATTTCTTACTTGATTTAAAAATTTTAACCTTACTTTAGTGAAAATAAATTAATCCTGTGGATCTTATATACATTGATATTTTGACACGTGAGTTGTCT